TTCCTCAAAACTTTATAGGTACTGAGTATACCGAGTCACATACTAGTATTGGAGACCCTGTTACATCTGTAGCAAATGGACAGGCGAAACTGAAACAAGGCCGGAAAAATGAATTGTTTTCTTCTGATGAAGAATCTGTCTATCTGCAAGAAAACCTACTTTGGAAGTTTTGCATGGATAATAGGCTTTCCTGTTCTTCAGTTAGGAGAAATGCAACTGGAATAGTGGATATCCTCACCTACCTGCTAAAACCTTTGAGGTTTTCCTTCTCAAATAAGTTGGCTACTGAAGATGCTGAAATTTCAAGGAGTGAAGCAACTGAAACTCAAAGATTTGAGTTATATCCTGTAGCAAGAGCTATTAGCACATGGAAGAATGAACAAGGGATGGTGGGTGAAGATCAATACCCGCATGATCAAAGACACAGGCCTAATATTGATGACTGGAAGAAAGAGGAGCTAATGCTGTTTTTGCAAGAAGCTGTGAGAAGGAAGATTCAAGTCATGAAGTTAAGGATCCTGACATTTGAAAGATATTGGGAAGGAAGAGGTGCAAGGAAGAAGAAGAAGAAGAAGAAGCAAAAGATTTGGGCTGTCTCCTACCGACCACCTTGAGGGCAAGGTGGATGTTTAGGGGGGGAGTATTGATAGAGACCTACTTAGTAGAATAATATTAGAAGTAATAATAATAATATTAGTAATAAGGGTCTCTAGTATAAATAGATGGGAAGGGGGAAGTAGTAGGGAGGCTTTTGAGACTTTTGGACTGGGACTGGGAAAGATTAGAGACGAATAATCTCTTTCTTTGGAGGCTTCGGCTATTGGGGGCTTCGGCCATAGATTCTGGTTCATCTTCAATACAGTTTTCTTGAATTGTTCCTTTAATTTCTGTTCATCTTTTCTGTAAAATTTCTGGAAATCTGGACATACCTATCATTCTGAGGGCCTTCCTCCTCTTCTCCTATTCTGCCATCACAGAACACCATATAACCATCCCCAATATCCCTCATGATCTTTGACATAGTCTTCAATGATATTTCAATAGAGTTTAGCTTAAGATCCCCCTGAATGGTCTGAATTATCCCAGACTGTTGCCACTTGATACTATGCTTCTGAAAATTGACTTCCACATCCCCCAAAGTGGTCAACCATTCCATGCCAAGGACCAAATCAGTTTCCCCCAACTCCAGGATATAGAAGTTTTGTTGGATGACAGTTCCTTGCATACTCAAAATCAAATCCTCACATCTGCCCTTATTGGAGATCTTATCACCATTTCCAATCTGTATCTTATAATCTGAGATAGTGTAATAAGGTAAATTGAATTGTTCTACCAATTTATGAGATATGAAATTGTGCGAAGCCCCACTATCAATCAAAACCTCTATTTGCTTTTCTCCATTGGCCCATTTCAGAATCCCCTGCACCTTGAAAGCCCTCATGGAGGGTATCCCTTCCTTACTCATAATAGAAAGTTGCATGGACTTAAATTCCATGGTAGTTACTTCTTCTGCTGCAATTTCCACCTCTGCACCTTCTACTTCTTCCTCACTATCAGAATCTTCCACCAATATGAGTTTATAATTCTTTAATTTGCAGGTATGTTCCTTGTTCCATTTTTCCCCACACTTGAAGCAAAGGCCCTTCCTGCTCCTGTCCTGATATTCTTCCTGTGACAATTGTGGCCCCACCCTTCTGATGTCTGAGGGATGAATCTCTGTAACTCTGGTCCCTCTAGAATTGAACCAAGACTGGTTATTCTTACTATCTGCCCCATTCTTCTCGCTATTATGAGGTCCAGTATTGCCAGGTTTGGACTTGTACCCCTCAGTCCAAGCTTGTGGTTTAACAGCTGCAGTCCCCTTCTCTTTCCAAGGTAATTTGTCTTCCTCCCTTCTCTTCAGGTATATAGCTTCATTCCTACTCTCAATCAATAAGGCCCTGTCCATCACTTCAGCTAAGGAATTAGAATTATGTAATTTCAGCTCTGCTTTTATCTCCTCCTTCAAACCATTGATAAAAATTCCCCTCAGAATCCCCATGTCCACATTAATCTGAGGTGCTATCACCATTTCAAATTCATCCCTAAACTCCTTCACTGTTCCAGTCTGTTTCAAGCTCAACATAGGTCCATAAGGGTTTTGTATTAGATCTGGCTGGAACCTGCGGATTACAGATGCCTTCAAAGTGTCCCAGTTTCTCCTATCAGTTTGGTGATCCCATCATATGAACCAATTTATAGCCCTACCCTCCATAGCTACTACAGATGCTTCCACCTGTTCCTCTTCAGTGATATGATTCAAACGAAAATATCTCTCCATCCTCACAATCCAGTTATAAGCATTCTCTCCAGAAAAAACAGGCAAATCAATTTCCCCCCCAGATTGTACTGTAAATCTATTACAATCCTCATGTAATCTGTGATGTAGGATGTGAGAATGATTTGGATTACCTCCGGAAGTAGTTGGGCTGTTAGAAGTTCGCGTCGGAGGCTGTTGTGGTGATCGTGATCTAGCTCTGGACTGGAATTGCTCACTCAATGCGGCCATGGAAGCAGTCAAGTTTGCTGCCAAGTTCTCCATGGCTGATCGCTGATCGTTCACCGCTGATTGCAGATCGTCCTTCAGTTCGGCTTGAACCTCCAGTAGTTTCCGTTCCAAGTTATCCACGCGAATATCCATTTTCGCGCGCGTCCGTACCATTCAACACCTGAACGCAACTACCTCTGCGATCGTCGTTCACCTTCGATTCCCAGGAGCTATGCTCTGATACCAATGATAAGAAACCTCAACAAACGCAGCAGAAATTGATGATTTACTGACTATGAATTCTGTCGATTACAACTTAGAAGGAAAGAAACGGAAATAAAGAAGAAAACAGATCGAGACAGTTCGAGTCGTCTCACACTCCCAAGGCCTAATCCAGATCCAAATTCTGCCTACCTTCTTCTAAGCCCCAACCCATATTTAATATATGCCTTATGGGCCGGCCCAAAGCTATTTAGTTACAGGGCCTAAGCCCTTTATTATTATACACTATTAAAAGACTATTATTCTTATCACTAATACTATCTAGGTCCCTATCACTCTTCTCCAGACTCATTTTCTCCTTCTGATTTTTCTACCAATATCATCTTGTAGTTCTTCATTTTACACACATGTCCCCTATTCCAATTTTCACCACATTTAAAGCACAACCCCTTCCTACTTCTCTCTAGCAGTTCACTTTGAGACAATCTGGGACCAGTCCTCTTCTGATTAGGTTGAATAATCTCATCAACAGGCTTACTCTCACTGGCTCCCTTACCAGAAATTGCAGAGGTGTTTGGATTACTCTTCCATTTGTTCACATCCTTCCAATTTTGAATCTGCTGATCACTGTTGGATTTCCCTGACCATTTCTTCCTTCCCTCATCTTTACTCTTCATGATTGATGCTTCGTTATTTTTGTTTTCAATCAGTGAAGCTGTATCCATGATCTCAGCAAGTGTTATTGTAGGATACAATTTTAACTCAGCCCTTATGTCACGTTTTAGTCCATTTAGAAATACTCCTCTCAGTACCTCTTCAGTCAAGTGTCCCTGTGAGGCTATAGCAACTTCAAATTTGTCCCTGTAGTCTGTTACTGTTCCCTTCTGGTTCCGATTAAACAATGGTCCCAGTGGATTTTGCACCAAGTCCGGTTGGAAACGTTTGGTCAAATCTCTTGTGAAACTCTCCCAGTTCTGATGGCGAGCTTGGCCCTCCCACCATTGAAACCAACTCAAGGCCTGATCCTCCATCGCAACAACTGCCACATCAATCCTGTGTTCTTCCTCAGTATTGTTCAGAAGAAAATATCTATTCATCCTGACTAACCCATCCAAAAGCGCCATCTCCATTAAAAATAGGTAAATCAATTTTCCGACCTGCCGGATTGTGATACCTATGACATTGGTAATGTTCGCAACCATGTCGCGATGCAGTAGGATGAGATGTACCATCCGAACTTCCTGAACTGTCATCGTTCTTTGTATGTCGGTGATGCGATGTGCGATGTGAAGTTCTCGATCGATGTGAGTGACTCCTCGATCGAGCTGATAGTGTGTTCTGTAACTCTGCTATATTAGCTTCCATCGTTGCTTGCATAGAAGCCATACTTTCTGCCAAGGTCGCCGTCATATTATGTTGCATCTCTCTCAGGTTCCTTTCCATACTTGCTTGCATCTCCCGTTGACTCCTTTCCATTTCCGTCAGTCGACTTTCCATTTTCGCGCGCGTTACGGTCATCCAGCGATCAAACGTGCTCTGATACCAATGATAGTGTAGCGCAGGTATGTAATATTAATTCTCTGTAAAACGAGCTTCAGAAACAGTAATACTTCATTAATGGAGGTTCACCGTACAACAAGTCCCAAAGAGAAGAGAAACTATTCTCTAATCTTCCCAGTCCCAGTCCCAGTCCAGAGATCTAACAGCCTACTCTCCTTCTCCCTCCTTATTCTATTTATAGACCCCTGACTAACTGAAAGTAGTTACAATTATTTCAATGAAAGTAATTAACAAACCACTAGTCTATTTATTCCTTCTAGAATAAACTTGACCATAGTATCTATCCTTCTTGCTGGCTGCACACATGTCTCTATCAGTTGGTAAGAGTTATTTGACAGAATTGATTAAATGTGCTCAAGTTTTCATAGAAATAATGACAAATATTTGACTAAAATGAAAGTAATGGACATAAATATGACTTTTAATATGGTCAAGTTTAAAATGACATAAATACAGTGAGCATATTAGTATATTCACACTTGACGGTGACGACAGACACTATGTAATCATGTTTTTCCATTAGTTCTATTTTTTAATATTAGTGGAAAAACTCCTTTTAATATTAAGAAAAGTGTATTGTAACATATATTTCAGCCAGCTAAGACAGTCAAAGGCTGCTTATCTGGCTGAATATAAACAAACGGAACAGTTTTTCTGTGGGCTGATTTTATCATGTTTCTGTTATTTGAAGCTCCATTATTTAGCATGAAAAAGACGATGGTGGTGGACCATGGGAATAATGAGTCCGAGGACAGAAGAAGTGTTTCTTTTGCGCGTACCTCAACCAGCTCCAGCTGTTCACGGACCAGTCCATCTTGTTTCCCCCAGCAACTGGAAATTGACAGTGGAAATGAATCAGTATCAGAAGCAGGAGATATTGGGGACAGGGCACTTAGCAGCAATAGGTACAGTCATAGTGGTAGGCTGTTTTTTTCAGTTGAGAATGCAGCAGAAAGTGGTCTAGTTGTACCTATTGCAGAGGAAGGGGCATGGTCCCACGCTTTCTCTCCTTTACCGGCTGATGCGATCATAAAATCTGGAGATGGATCGAAGGTGAATCCCTTGATGTATTGTCTATTTTAAAATATGGTCCTTTGGTTGCTAATTGAATTAATTTGTATGCAGGATTCCAATGAAGAGGTGCCATGGTGGTTGGAATATATCTCAAGCCTATTGTCTCTGGCTGTTTTCGGAATATTAGGGGTAAAATGCTCACACAATTCACTTTGTAGATAGGTTGACTGGTTGACCCAGAACCATGTTTATTTACTGTTGTATTTTCCGTCCCCTTCATGTATCTATTCTTCTTCTTCACTGATTGGAGAAGAACTTGTTTTAGTACCTTACCAAAGATGCAAGATGAAAAAACTATGCTATGAATGACTTCAATGTCTTCCAGGCATGAGAATAAAGAACATATTCTTGACAACTTTACAATTTAAATACCAATATGCATGTAATCTAGAACTTCAATATTTGCCCCTGACATTTTTTGCATCAATTTATTTATTAGCTCAAATCTGTCCTAAAAGTGTGATCTAACCAAGTTAGCAATCTTCATACTCATTATAAGACATACTGTAGAGACCTAACACTCTATATACACTTTATTTAATGTTAAATTGTTAATACATTCTTTATTATTATGTCTTGTAATGAGTATGAGAGTAATTATTTGGTCTTCTTCTTCATCATTACCCCAGTGCCTCAAAGGCTCCCACTTACGGTGGGGGTAAGGGGGGGGGGGGGGTCGGTCGGATGTACGCAGCCTTACCTCTGTATTAAAGTACAGAGAGGCTGATCAGTTTGGTAAAAAGGAACAAAACAAGAGTTGTGGTTTGGCTGGATCAGTTTTTCTGGCCAAATTTGACATTTACGGTATATACTAATTTTAGACAATTATTTGACAAAAACAAAATTCAGGCCACTGATCAACATATTTGGGGGTTAAGGACTTAAGGTGATGGTGGTGTCTATAGTATGCATTTTTTCACTTCGCTGGTTTTCTGTGTCATTATTCTGGAAGTCATCCTTTCTGTTCATATTATCTGCAGGTATTGCTGAGGTATGCTCTTGAGCTATTGTTTGGGCCAGGAAATGTGGGCGCTACGAGTGATCAAAGCTATATGTATCTTGATCTTCCTTCTAATATGGTATCTCCTTCTTACTATTGGCACATTCCAATGATTGAAACGGCTGATAAGTGATAAGCCATGTTATTCTTTTGCTACTGATTCCTCTCAATTAGTGACCACTAGAGCACTCTTCATGAACGAGATGAAGTTTCTGGAGCACGCACACAGCTTGACTTAAAGAAGAGATGTTGTCCTGTGAGGCTGTGACTAGACGAATGAAACACATATTTAGCTATTTAGCTTGTCTGTAAATGAAACTTTGGTGGGAGAGCTGGAAAATAGGACCTTGCATCATCTATCAACACATTGTCTACTAATTACTGCTTAAATATGTCATATGGAGTATGCTGTAAAAAAGTACAAATATGTACCTGGGGTGGCATATTATGCACTACTCTCTCTCTCTCTCTCTCTCTCTCTATATATATATATATATATATATATATATATATATATCTTATTCCATACTATCAATAAAAGACGTATCTAGGAACTGTATACTCCGTATAATGGTACCACTGTCCGTTTGGGGAAATAGAATCAAGTATAAAACCTTCATTAACTGGACCTGCATATATTCTAGTTTTATTATTACTTGGAGTCATGGTCCAACAGATCGAATGATAGATTGACAATGTTTTACGCATTCATTGATTATATTAGTTCTTGCACCTTCCCTTTTGATTTATTCTCATTTAATTGTTTGTTTGACATTCACAGGTTGGTTCATTTTTAATGGGGTGGTTTGGAGTGGTTTTCAAAGCAGAAATTTCCAAAATTTCGGAGCAGCTGGCTATTGGATTATCAACTGGCTTTCTAGGAAGCCTTACTACATTTAGTGGTTGGAACCAAAAGATGCTTGATCTTAGTGTCGAAGGTCGATGGGTTTTTGCAATGCTTGGCATTCTTATTGGTATATGCTACATCTGCTTCTTTATTCTTCTTTTACCTTCTTTATTCTTCTTTTATTGTGATTAAATTTAATGAGCTTAACTGGGTCAGTGACAAAATCGTACAACCATTAAACTTTGTTTACTTACGACGTAATGAGAAATTCGACTTATTCATTCAGCCAAAGGTTGACCTAATCATTCAATCTTGATATAATTCATCTTTTCCATTCAGATGTATATTCAGCCAATTTAGTTTTTGTTTTAGAAACCACGATGAAGTAGATGTTTGTTAATAAGTGAGATTACTTATTGGCAAGACAACCCAAAGATAACCTTAAATTGGTTATTTTACTGTTCAGGCTGTTTATTCAGCACACAACATACACAGATTCTTACAAAGACCACTTACTCTAGAGTAGAGACAGATATCTTAATGATAAAAAGAAGTAAACCGCTGCTAAGATAACATTGACAATAATCGTCTTTAGAGTTTGATGGAACTTGACATTTTGGTAGGATTGTTTCTCGTTGCCTACTCCATCATTTTTGGTATTGAGACTGCAAAAGGTGTTCGACTTGTTTTGAAAAGAGCGAATATAAATCCAAGCTCCTGGAAGGTGAATAGTCTCAAACGGCATTTGGCAGTCTCAGTAACGTTGCTACTTACACTGGCTGCTCTATGGAGTGTGTGTATAGCCGAGGAAATAAAGGTATTTAAAAAGGGAAACAGCGAATCCCGACTGTGGTTGGGATGCCTTGTTGGACCATTTGGTGTCTGGATCAGGTGGTTCTTAGCACGGTTGAATGGCCGTGGTTTTGGAAAATCAGGATTGTTGAAATGGGTACCGTTTGGCACCTTAATTGCTAATGTCTCTGCAGCCTGTGTCATGGCCTCACTAGCAGCCTTGAAGAAAGCTGTAAGTTTTTTCCAAGCTCCACATTATTGATATATTCCCTCTTCCCCCTTTTTGTTGCGCATAGGTCTTCAGACCAATTTGGTGGCCCGAATAAAATTGCTGATAATTTGGGCCTGTTTGGTAAAATTGTTCATCTAGTAACTTATTCTGCTTATTTTCTTATCAGCAGACAGGAGTAAGTAGCATTTGACTTAGTTATCAAGCGCTTTTAATTCCAGAAAATCCAGCCATTGAGCAAATAAAATTTCACCACATGAGCTCTTAATGATTCATAACAAAATATAATCACGTTTGGCATGACAGGAAATCACTGATTCACAGAAATCATTCAAAAACCCCATGGTATGTGGAAGTGCATGAAATGCTTTTACTTGCCTCTTTTAATATCTGATATCAGATATTTACAAGACAAGTGGGTAATATATAAAAACCCAACTTTGTGAGGATAAAGTTTTGGGTGAGTTAGCCACTTAGGGCCTAATTTGAAAGTCCCCCGCTCGCTCCCCAATTCCAGGAAATGATAAACCTAGGTTCTTGGCTTATCGAATCCAATCACAGGCAGCACAACCTATTAAAATCCAAACAAGACGTAGCATTTTCATTTGGATTACACCAAGTCGTGGTATTCTCCATTAACTCATGAATTGTTACGGGTTTGAGTACACCAGGTGAAAACAAAGGACTGTGATACGGTGGTTACTGGCATTCAGTTCGGGCTGCTGGGTTGCCTTAGTACTGTGTCTACCTTTGTTGCTGAATTCCATGCCATGAGAGAGAGCAAACAACCTTGGAGAGCATATGCATATGCTTTTGCTACAATTATCTCATCTTTCATCCTAGGTACTCTATTATACTCTGTACCAATGTGGGTGAAGGGTTATTACTGATTCACCAAGTTTGTATAGAATGATCAAGTAAAGCTCAACTTTGAAATAATCATATCAATGATATTTAAAATAAGTGAATAAAAAAGAAATAATAGAAACGTTCAGTACAAGGTCACCGAGGACACAGGCTCAAAATGATTTTATTACAAGATTTGATTAATAGAAATGCAATTAAAAATCCAGACACTTCATTACTGAGGAAGCTTGTTTAGCTTACAATAAGCAAAATCCTTGTACTTTTTGGTCTTGTATTTTGCTGGATTCTTCTCATCAATCAGCTTGGGAATAGGACCAACTTCAAATTCAGGTGGTGGCTCCAGGAAAACCGGCCAAGACATTCTTGCCTTTTCCTTGTTCACTGTCGTCCTGTGCAACACACTTTTGTATTTTCCATTGCTGAGGATCTGTCACAAACCAAATGGTAAATATTCAAGAATGATCAAACTATAATTCTATTAGTTTCAATGTAAAAAAATATGTCTACTTTGAATATTTCCAAAAAAAGAGACTAAATCATTTCCAGCTCTTTATCTGTCTCTTTTTTCGCTCCCACCGCCAAGTGGCAGAGCTAGAGTTTGAGTTAAATCATTCATACTTTGTATGTAGGTGGAATAAACATTATTTAGTAAATTATTGCTTTGATACATATGGAGTATCGAGTACGTAATATGTATAAACTTCATGTTGCTAAGGAATGGAATAAGATGATATTTTTGGAATTTGGGAATATAACTATTATTATGAATCAAGTTTGATTCATTTCAAGTTTAAATGTTGGTGATTCTCCACAAGTCATAATACTCTCAAGTTTTTAGAGGGGTCGGTACACCACCCTAACCCACTTTGGCTCCTCCCCTGCCACCACCTCCCTAGCTACTAATGCATACCCCACCTTTCCAAACTTTTCCGCAAGAGAGCAGAAAAATCATAGGCCCGTGAGTTAGTATTTAGTAACGGGTGGAGTGGCGCCAGTAGCAGTAACATGCTAAAAGGGACATGTTTAGTCACTTTTTGCAGGAGTAATATTTAAACAGTAGTCATTATTGTATTTGTAAAATTAGAGGGAAAACTTCAATATTCATAACTGCTTTTAAATGAGGAAAATCTAAAATTGGTCTTTGGCTTCAGTATGTTGAGGACTTTTCAAAGATTCTTAGAATCTTGTGGGTTGTTAAATGTAATCCAGTGGTAAACTGACTGCCCCTCCAGACAAGCTCTCATGAACGCGAAGGAGATCACTGCGATCATTTATCATTTTCTTATATCACAAAAACATTTGATAAATGTCAAATGGTATATTTGGCACGAAAAGAATAAATGAATTTGGAATTGGATTACATTCATAGCAAGTGAATTTACTATGATTGTTATAATTGTTGCTGTTCTTATTGTTGTTGCCTTCACCACCACGACCACTACTATCATCTTCGTTTGAAACCATTTCCGCACATCATGGGATCACATTCTCTTTTACAGTCACAAATTAAGTGAGAAAGATTGTTACTTTTTTTCTGTACTGTTTTTCTTTTTATTCTCGCATTGTGCTATTTTTCTCTTATCAATAAAATGTTTTTTTTTTTCTTAAAGAAAAAAGAGTGGAATACTCATCTTATAGATTCATAAGTATTGTGTCCCTCAATCAATAAATGTGTGTGAATAAGAAATACAACTCTAGTAGAGTACATACCTCAATTTGGTCACCAATGTGGATGATAAGGGCATTGGGGATATACTTAACATTGTACCAATGTTCATCTTTGAAGACTTGGAGACCTTGGACTTCATTTGGTACAAGAATGGTGATGGCAGACATGTCGGTGTGAGCCACCACTCCGAGCGCCAAGTCTGGTCGAGGGCAGGGTGGATAATAGTTGATTTTCAATAGGTATTCTAAGTCTTCACCTCCTACAGCCTCTTTCAGCTCATGGCCTTCCAGGCCCAGGCTGATTGATAAGCTTCTCAACAACTCATTTCCCACCTTTTCTAGTCTCTTGGCGTATTCCTCATTTGCTTCCCTGCATAATCAATAAATCTGTTTCAGTTTTTACTGGTTCACCCTTCATTGTAAGTAACAATAATTTGATTTTCATGTTTTATGAATGCCAGATTTTGATCATTAACTTATTCAATAGTTTCTCTGTCGTAGAATAAATCATCTAAAAAATAGTAAAATAAATGAGATAGTAACACAACCAGTGCATTATTATTAGGATGTTTTTACTTGGACTGTAATTCGTCCCAGACCAGACTTATCTGGTCAGGGGCGAATTATAGTACAGACCAGACCGGCAAATTACAGTCCAAGTAAAAACATCCTTAGTTAGCAACTAAGGACTTACTGCCAGCCAAATGACTCTCTCTATGCAATCTGTAATTAAGATTTTTTCAGATAACATCTAAAATTTAAGACATTATTGAGAATAGCGTAACCTAACAAAGATTAGTGTCATCAGTTTTATTTCCTAGAAAAAAGGCAAACTACACAATTTCATTCGTATAAATGAAAAGTACTACGGTTGGGAAGAATGGGTGACGGTAAGTGTAATAAAGTCGTGCGGCTTCAATTAGGCAGAGATGAACAAATTGTCTTTAATTATTTTGCGTGTACTAATAATATTGCTAATTTGCTACCCACAATTTACCCAACTACACCCCCATTTAATAACTTCACCGCATCATGGATTTATTATGGAGATGTTATACTAAGTATTGAAATATTTAACAGAGTTAACAGAGAAGAATAAAACCACTTATGAAATAAAGTAGACTAACTCAGATCAGACCACACGGATAATGATAAAATATATTGTAGTCCTTAATATTATACTCCCTTCGGTCCTAAATAAAGTTAAGTGTTTGACTTCACACAAATTAAGAAAATAAATTTGACTTTACTGTAAAGTAAACTGTTTGGCAAATAAGGAAGTATTTGAACTTTATTTTGAACCGACCCAAAAAGGAAAATGTGAACTTTATTTAGGACCGGAGGGGAGTATTTACGAGCCTAAACCAGAGCATAGAGCAGATCAAAGACTATGTTAGTCCTTACTCCTTATCAGTACATTCAGTACATACCAGAGTGAATGTCAATCTAAATAAACCTGCTTTAAATGCTTGTTAAAAGTAATAAGTAGGGAGGATTATTATTTTGACACTCCCTTCCATCCCAAAATAGGTTCATAGTAAATTCAGTTTGGAATGTTTTTCTTTGACTAATATGGGTTTATTTTCCTAATAATACTCCTTGAAAACTTGATTAAGTTTGACTTGGACATAAAATAATAAAATCAAAATTGTGCCATTGACTTTTGTGCAAAGAGAAAAAAAGTACTCCGTATACTGTATATTCATTTCTTTAAATGAAAATGATAATTTTCATTTGGCCAAATAAATAGGAATCCGGAGTTTTTATTTTTACAAGAAAAGAGCAAATAATTAAAGAAAGAAGGATGGTGATTGGTGAGTGATGATTGCTGGTAAGTGGGAATGAAAGGGAGGGAGAAAGATAAGTTATGAGTACCTATAGGAAGAAGGGGTTTTAGGCCAGAATCTGTAGTTAACACTTGAAGGCGGCCAAACTCTGTGAAACAAGTGGTCAACCCACCCTCTCTTCCCCTCCATGTCCTTCTGCAACGACGTTCCGTACCCCTCGATTCCGCCGTCCTTCGCCACCGCCTCCTTCGCCTCCTGCGGCAGCTCGAAGAACTCCTTCCCCACCCTCTGAAGCTCCCTTATCACCTCGTCCGGTATCCCGTGCTTCACCACCTGGAATATCCCCCACTCCCGGCTCGCGTCCCCTATCTTCTCCGCCACCGCCGCCGCCTCCTCGCTCATGTCGATCACCGGCACTTCAAGATCAACCCCCTCCACCGTCGTCACCGCCGGCTGCTCCTCCGCCGACCGGATGTACTCCGCCGGAATCGTGCCCATCAATTTTGAGAGGCCATTCGCCACCGCTTGCACCCTCTCCACCTCCATTGTGTGATGCAATTCTTGTTGTCGGGGAGCCAAGCTAGCCAGCCAGCTGCTCTCTTCTTCAGGATTGGATTTATGATTGTTAACCAAAATTTATTTCCAATTTATTTATATAGAGAGTGTGGGAGTTTGTTAGAATGAGTGGGTGAAATTGCGTAGCTTTATGTGGTTCACTCAATAGCGCACCTACTCTTTTTTCGTAACAGGGATGCACCCACGGCTAAACACAACTTACCAATTACCATACGTCAAAGGTGACTCTTAAAACATTACCAAATTTGATCTTAAATTTAATAAAAACAACAATTCTGTGGTTAAAATTTGTAAAATAGAGTGAGAATTAACTGGACTTACAAATTCTTTACTTAAAATAAAAAGTGACAAAATTATAGTGACATCTAAAAAATGAAAGTTGACAAAATTTTAAAGGACGGAGGCAATATGACACATTAAAATATTGTAATTAAATAATTTGAACATAAATAAATAATTACACAGATCAACTAAAATACTAAATTGGAGAACGTTTTGTGGTTTGATGACATCATCTTGACAATTCTAAGGAGCTGAGACCACATTTTTTAAACTTCATCGTGTAACAGACTAACAGATGTTAGCATTTCACATAATACATACGGAGTACTATAATATTTGAGAAAGTACATAAAAAATTAAAATATAAAAATAAACTAATTTAGACATAAATAAATGATGGAATGATGGACATTCATTAAACACTATATACTGTACATCATAGGTATGGTAATATCATTTTTATTAGGAGGTATAGCATTCATATTTCTTTATATAACTTCTAGGGGTAGACAATTCGGTTTACGGTTCGGTTTTCTTCGATTTCGGTTTATTCGGTTTGGGAGAATTTGTACCAAACTAAACCATTTGAATTTCGGTTTGGTTTTGGTTCGGTTAGATTTGAAGTTCGGTTTACCAAAGTAAACATTATTAGGTACAATTTAGTTTTATTTGATTCGGTTTCTTATGTTTATTGTTTTATGAGAAAAGGGTCAAATAAGACCTTCTATTATTATGAAATACTCACATAAGGCCATGTACTCAATAAAGTGTCATATAAGTACCTCTACTTGTATAAACCAATCAAATGAGTCCTAATGGCTTATTTAACACCTCCTAATCCCGATTTTAGCTTACATGTCGATTTGTTTTTACTTTTATTTCAACCAATCTTAGTTAAATATTCGACATATGTCGTATAATGTATTCTAAAAAGATGGTCCTAAGTATAGATATATGTATATATATACTTTGTATTTTTTTCACTTTTCAACTTTAGGATATAAATAAATAATTTAGACATGAAAAAATAAAAACTTAGGATATATCATTTTAACTTTTACACATTTCATACATTCATTATGATAAAATTAACTAATACAACATGATAGATAGTATACCCGGGGTAGCTTATCCGAAGGGTTATTACGGGGAATAACTTAGAGAGAAGTCAGAGCAATAAGTAAGAGAGAGAGTATGTATTCGATGTATCAATTGTGTGTTACAATGGGAATATGGGTCACTATTTATAGCAGCAATAAATGTTAGATCAATAATCGGTAGGACACGTGCCATGCATCTGACGGCCGAGGGCCACCTCAATCGGGGTGGCACCGACATTTACATGTGCACCGCATTAAATGCGGTGGGTGGATGTGACGTTGTACCCGGTATGGTGGTTCAGCGCATGTGGAGAGGAGATTCTGTCAAGGAGGTTGCCTTCGGCTATGTATGTTGGATCGAAGGCTCTTTGTACCGGGGGCCTCCCTCTGCCGAGGGCTGTAGGTGTCGAAGGCTTGGTTTTCAAGCCTTGTTCTCCTGTGATGTTCCTGGACTTGATTCCATGAATGTTAGCCTTCAGACATGATGCCGAAGGCACCCCCTTGCGTACTACGGGCTGCCTGGAGTCTGGTTTTGCTGGGCTTGGCCCATTTGGGCCTGTTGGGCCTGATTGTTGTAGTGGAAGTATGTGGGCCGGGGGTCCCCGGACCATATACTCCATCACAACATATTTGTATTTGTTATGTTTTATACTCTAATGTATGAAAAGATATTTGGCGATAACAATAACCAATTGCATTTATATTTTTTAAATGATTCATTTGAATAAAATTGTGAATATTACAACAGTTATACCACTAACTCATTTAGTTTTTTTTTGAATATTTTATGTGATATTATAAATGCTAACCGACTATAAATTTATTTTTTGTGAGAAGTGAATTTTTTTTCTAGTGATCGAAAAGATGTTAGAAGTTTTAATTTATAATATTTTATTATTATTTTTCTATCTTTTACTTCGTTTTACATTTTATTTAAGTAATAATAAATAAAAGAAGATGAGATGGACTAGTACTATGATGTTCTAATCCTAAAATATAGAACTTGCTCAAATAAAATAAGAGAAAAGGGTCGAATAAGGTCCTCTACTATTATGAAATAGTCACATAAGGCCATGTATTCAATAAAGTGTCATATAAGTATCTCTACTTGTAAAAAGTAATCAAATGAGACCTAATGGCCTATTTAACACCTCTTAATCCCGTTATATAGATAGATAAGAGATCAAATACAAACCATGTTTAAAATACTAACCTACAAACTCAATAATACGCATCACTTTGAACTTCAATATGCAGTACAAATAATGTAAAGATGCAGGGGTGAGATCACATACAAACTAGTCCTCCCATTCAAATCATTTTTACATTATTTGTATTGCACATTGAAGTTCAAAGTGTTTCATATTATTCAATCCATAAAATAGAAGTTTCATATTTACATTATTTGTATTGCATATATTGAAATTCAAAGAGTGCATCTTTACATTATTTGTACTGCATATTGAAGTTCAAAGTGTTGCATATTATTGAGTTTGTAGGTTAGTAAGTTAAGCATGGTTTGTATGTGATCTTACCCCATATATATATATATATATATATCCGTGTGTGTGTGTGTGTTTTGGTTCAAATAAGAACATGATCTTATGAGAAAAATGAGAATGAAACTGGACCGTTAGATTTGCTTTACGAGAAATTCAATGTGCATTAGATGAAGCTGTAATGTGTATCACGTGAAATTGAAATGTGCAGCACAAATGGTACAATGTAGTGGCATTATGTGAAGTTAAATTATGCATTAGGTGAATTTGAAATGTGCACTAGATGAAACTAAAATGTGCATAATAAAAGGTAGGATGTGATGTTATTTTTGTACCTTTTATTCTGCACATTCCAGTTTCACCTAATGCACATGTGAGTTTAAATTTTAATTCTGCACATTTCAATATCATCTAATGCACATTTCGGTTTCACCAAATGCACAATTCAGTTCCACATAATTCAATCCAACGGTCCAGATTCGTTCTCATTTCTCTCCTAAGATCCGTTCTTACTGGAACCGCTCCATATATATAAATATGTATATATATATATATATATATATATATATATATATATATATATATATATATATATATATATAGGGAGCGGTTCCGGTAAGAACGGACTCACATGAGAGAAATGAGAATGAATCTGGACCGTTGGATTGTATTATGTGGAACGGAAATGTGCATTTGATGAAACTGAAATGTGTATTACATGATACTGAAATGTGCAGAATAAAAACTTAAACTTAATTGTGCATTAGGTGAAACTGAAATGTGCGGAATAAAATGTACAAAAATAACATCACATCGTACCTTTTATTCTGCACATTTCAGTTTCACCTAATGCAAATTTCAATTTCACCTAATGCACAATTCAGCTTCACTTAATGACATTGTATGATACGTTTTGTGTTGCACATTTCAATTTCACCTAATGCACATTAGAGTTTCATCTAATGCACATTGAATTTCACATAAAGCAAATCTAACGGTCCAGATTCATTCTCATTTCTCTCCTAAGATAATGTTCTTATTTGAACTAAAACACACACACACACACACACACACATATATATATATATTACGAGTTGTTCGGTGTTCGGTTCGGTTTACGGTTTTTCGGTTCTAAACCAAAGCAACCCAAACCATATTCGGTTTGAGAAAATTGTTACCAAACGGTTGACTTAAGTAAAACCGAACCAAACCAAACCACCAATTTTCGGTTCGGTTCGGTTCGGTCAAACCAAACCATTTTTCCCGGTCCTAATAAATTCCTTTCTGATTTTCTTTATTCTATATTATAAATGACTTTCCTTGTTATCAACTATAGCCGCGGTCGTCTCCCTAGCGATTAGGGTTGGATTGAGCAGTTTTCAAACTTCGTCGTTCTTCCACTGGCAAATCAGATTCTACCTCATGCGGATCCATTGTTCGAGCCGGTGGTTTCTTTGTTTTTATTTGTGCAGATCTTGTTTGGTTCGGACGTGCGGGCTGTGAGAAGAACTCGCGGGCGCTGCTTTTCGTCGACAGTATACCGGCGCTTCGGAGGGTCTTTGAGCAAGGCGGAGATGGAGGGGATGGTCAACAAATGTGATAAAATGAGTCTTGAGGGTGAAGAGGACGATCTGATTCTGAACGAGGAGGTCGCGGGCAAGGAAGAGGCTCCGAACAGGAGCCAAAGGGTGAAAGAAAACGAAGAGATGTTGATCCGTCCCCCTCCCGAACCGCCGCCATGGAGGAGTTGTGCGACTAGGGTTTGGACGACTATTTCTAGTTTTGTTTTACTTTGTTTGTGTTTTTACTTTGAACTATATGTTGTTTTGCTTGTCATGTACGCTTATTTTTGTTTGACTCTTGTATTAGGTTGGGGTGATGAGAGGTCTATTTTAACCACATTAGGCTCATTTAGACCCATTATAGGATCATCGAGCCATATTGCTTTTTCCAGGGTGATTGGCTCTAAGTCTGGTTCGAGGGTCGGTGATTGGAAATGGTCCATTTATCTTCTTGTTCCCTTAGTGAATGCTTTGATATCAATTTAAGCCGTTTTTCCCAAAAAAATGACTTTCCTTGTTAATGATTTTCTTTATCTATTGTCAAATAAATAACACGTTTGAAAACATACTTTTACTTTAGTTGTATTATGAATATTAATTAATACCATGATAGTAGACGATATAGGTAATCGTTCATACTATTTCTCTTTGACATTTCATTTTTATACTTATCGTAGCATTCAC